CGCACCTTAGTCTCCAGAGAGACACTGTTGTTCCTGAGTACTTTAGAGAGGTCCCTAACAGCAGAATTTCCCATCGCGATACGCTTTTTTATTTCCTGACTGCTGATGCCAAGAGTGTTGACTGTGGAGCCGAGCAAACTGAAGCTGTGAACACTCTCAATCTCTTCGTCATCCATCCTGACGCTGCCAATTGGTGCAGTGGTGAGAATCTTTGTCTTCTTGACATTGAGCCTCAGTCCATACTGAAGGCTGCAGTCCTTGACCCTTCGCAGCAAGTGCATGAGGTCCTCCTCAGTTTCAGCAAGCAGGGTTGTGTCATCTGCATAACGCAGACTGTTGATAAATCATCCACCAATCTTGACCCCACATTTCTCCTCATAGAGCCCAGCCTCCTGGATAATCTGCTCTGCAAACATGTTGAAAAGGTATGGAGACAGGATGCATCCCCAGCGTACACCCTTCCCAATTCTGAACCATGCAGTGTTACCCTGCTCTGTTCTGACTACTGCCTCTTGGTCCAAGCACAGGTTTCACATTAGCACAATTAAATGTTCTGGGATTCCCATTCTTCTCAGAGTCAGCCACAGTTTGTTATGATCCACACAGTCAAATGCCTTTGCGTAATCAATGAAACACAGATGGACATTCTTCTGGTATTCTCTGCTTTCAGCCAAGATCCATCTAACATCAGCAACAATATCCCTAGTACCACGACCCCTTCTAAACCCAGACTGGACTTCCGACAGTTCTCTGCTTACGTGCTGTTCTAATCATTTTTGGATGATCTTCAGTAGAATCTTGCTTGCATGTGAAATCAATGACACTGTTCTGTAGTTTCCACACTCAGTTGGGTCACCTTTCTTTGGAATGGGAACAAATATAGATCTCTTCCAGTCAGTTGGCCAAGTGGTTGTTCTCCAGATTTCTTGTCACAACTTGGTGAGCACATCCAGGGCAACATCTGTTATCTGAAATACTTCAATTGGTATACCATCTATTCCTGAGGCCTTATTTTTTGCTATTTCCTTCAAAGCAGCTTGAACTTCTTCCTTCATCACCATAGGCTCTTGCTCATGCGTTATTTCTTTAAATTCCTCTGTATCTGCCAATTCCTTTCTATATAATGACTCAGTATATTCCTTCCATCTTCTTTTAATACTTCCTGGATCATTTAATATTCTGCCCAAAGCATCCTTGATTACAGCAACTCTAGGTTTGAATTTGTTCTTCAGTTCCTTGAGCTTAAGAAATGCTGAGCGAGTTCGGCCCTTTAGATTTTCCAACTCTAGCTCCTCGCACATTTCATTGTAGTATTTTGCTTTGCCATTCCGAGCAGCCTTTTGGAATCTTCTGTTCAACTCTTTAGCATCTTGACTTCTTCCTTGTGCTTTGGCTTCTCTACGCTCCAGTGCAATCTTCAGAGGCTCTTCTGACATCAATTTTGGTCTTTTCTTCTTCTTCTGTCTTTGTAATGACCGTTGCACTCTTCCTGGATGATACTTTTGACATCCTCCCACAACTCATCTGGTCTTCGCTCATTAGTGTTCAAGGGTCGCACAATTTGATGGGATCTGTGTGAAGGAAATGGAAAAGATCCGGTGTGAAAAACTGTGTATTCAAACCTCGTAAATATGCCAGTATAAACAAAACAAAATGCCTAAAAAAAAAAGAAAGAAAAGCATGATAAATAGCAAAATTAACAGATAAAAATCTTACTTGGATGGTTACTTTTTAAATCCAAGTTTGGAACAGACCAAATTTAAGTTTCATTCCAAGTCTCTAGAATTGTGGAAGACCAGATTTCTAAAACAGTTTATTATTATCTATCTCTTATGTATGCTTAGCTATACAGAAAATGATTTTGTTGAGGAAATTCTTTTCATTTTTGTGCTAAAAGACTCCCTTGCCTTCTATTAACTACACATAAGAAATTATCGAACGATATTACTAATACCAAATATAAGTAAATCTCACTGAAGATTACCTAAAAATTGCTGGGACAGTAAGCAAATTGATATAGAACAACCAGAAGTTCCAGTTAGATTTAGAAGAGGCAGTGACAATAGGGATATCACTGCAGATGTCAAATAGATCTTGGTTGAAAGCAGAGATATTAGAAGAATGGCTATCTGTGCCTTAGTGACTATGCAAAAGCATTTGACTGTGTGGATCATGACAAATTACACCTGACATTGAGAAGAATGGGAAAGCCAGAACACTTAAGTCTGCTCATGTGACAACTATATTATCCTAAGAAGCTGTTCTCTGTACAGAGTAAGGGAACATTGCAAGGTTTTAAATGAAGAATGTATGCACCCTTTCCCTTTACCTATTGTATCTGTATGCTGAGTAGATCATTCAAGAAGTTAACTTTAAGAAGAATGAGGCATAAGGATTGGAGGAAGACTCAACAACAGCCTGTGTCATGCAGATAGCACAACTTTTTTTGCTGAAAGCAAAGAAGATTTGAAACATTTCCTGCAGAAAGAAGATCAAAGACTACAAGTTTCACTATGATTACATCTCAGCATCAAGAAAACAAAAACCTTTACCGTTAGGCCAATAGATAACGTCACCAGGTTGCTGTTGTTGTGTATGATAGAGCCAGACCTGAGCTTAAGCTGACTTGTCAGCAAGCTTTCACAGGCAGTAAATTGCACAGGAGATTATCTTTCTTACGTGGAGCTCCTGGTGAGTTTAAATTATTTATCTGTTGGTTAGCAGTGCAATTCCTTACCAATAAGCCACCAAAGCTTCCACATTATGACAGATGGAGAAATGATTGGAGTTATCAATGATTATATCTTATTTGGCTCCACAATCAACCTGCAGTCAGAATCAAAAGATTTGCTACAGTGGGAAAATCTGCTGTCAAGGGCCTTTCCAAGTTGCTAAGGCACAATGACGCCAACTTAAAGACCACAGAGCACCTGATTCAAACCATGGTTTTTTCAATGATGTGCTGTGCATCTATAAATTGAACAATGAATAATGATGACAGAAGAATTGATGTCTCTGAGTTGTGGTGTTAGAGAAGAGTACTGACTATTCCATGGACTGACAAGAGAATGAACAAACGTATCTTGGATACAGTGCAAACCCAGTGCTCCTTCGATTAAGGATGGTGAAACTTTGTCTAACATGCTTTGAATATGTTGGTAAGAGGAGCCAGTCCCTGGAAAAAGAGATCACACTTCGAAGGTGCAGAGTCATCAAAAGACAAGAAGCTTCTCAACATGATGGAGTGATTGACACAGTGACTGTAACAATAAATTCTAGTATATTAGGGATAATGAGAACAACACAGGCTAGAGCAAAGTTCAAATCCATTGTTCGTAGAGTCACTAGAGTCGACTGGGTGGCGTTGATCAATAATCAAACTAGAAATGTAGAGGAAAAGTGAAGAAGACTATCAAGATAAAGGAGTATTTTATATCAAAATTTATATCAGTTATTTATGGAATAACTTTTTAAAGTCTTTTGTGGAAAAAAAAGTCCATTGTCAAGTTGCAGTCAACTTATAATTGATCCTCCAGGTGGGTCTCAGACAGAGGATGTAGATCACATGGGAGGAGATTACCAGTCTTTCTCCCACAGAGCAGCTGGTGGCTTTAAACAGCCTGTCTTTGAATTGGCAGCAAACTGTTTGCCTCTTGGCCACCAGGGTTCCCTGAGTCTAGTACAATTGTTTACCAATTGGGAACAGAATGAAAATTAATCTTGAGAGAATAAGGGAGCTCTAGTGGTCTAGTACAGAGGGAGTTAGGTTGCAAACCAAATGCTGATACCTACCTGGTGGTTCCAACCCACTGCGCTGTTTAGGAGAAAGACTAGTAATCCCCTCCTATGAATTTATCACTGAAAACCCACCATAGGGTTAGTTATGTTTTGATTCTTTAGACAGCAATGAGTTTTGATTTTGAGTATGAGAAGACAGACATTCTTCCTTCATGTTCAACGACTGTTCTATCCTTTCCTGAGATTATCCTACTCAAAAACTATCAAATCCAGCCAACAATTAATGGTAGGCATGGTTGTAAAAGTTGGAGTACAAACCTAAAAACCACCCAGATGTGTTTGGGGAGAAAGACTTAGCTAACTGTTTCGAATGCTGGGAAAGGTGGAGGGTCAGAGAAAGAAAGGAAGACAGATGCCCAACAAGATAGATTGACAGAGTGACTGCAACAATGGGCTCAGACATATCAGAGATGGGGAGGAAAAAAGTAGGGTAAGGCAAGGTTCCGATGTGGTGTTCACAGGTTTGCAATGAGTTGTAGGTGACTTGCTGCTACCTAACAACAACAGCAGCAGCGTCTACTTCTAAAAGGTCTCAGCCATGAAAACCCTTGAATAAACGCAGCTGAGTCGAAATGCTTGATATTTCCAAGATTTTGAACTGACCTCCCCCCAGTTGATATTTTAACCCTAAGCCAAAAAAACCCCACATATTCTCGCTTTCAATTTTCTTCAGTATATAGACTACAGCTACACATATATACCACATTTTATGTATTTATGTCTTATTATATCACATTTTATTTTAAAATATATTCTTCTTAAAATATAACTGTGTTTGAAAGTACTTCACAATTCTAACTTTTTGCCAAGTCAGCCTATTTCACTTCAAACACACAAGCATGAGTCGCCTAGTAAAGTCCACTTCATTCCCCCTTTCCTCCCTCCCAGAGTGAAATAAAAAGTCCCAGTTTATTCCTACCAAGACAGGAAACATTTCCCGGAGATTAATCACTATTTTGCCTTGCAAAATTGGGAAGGTTGAGAGAAATTAGTAGAATGTATCACCCTGCTTTGAGTTTGGAAGTTTTGGAAACGATCCTATTCCCATTTGGATGAAAGACATCATGAGTCAACTTGTGGTTCATTTAAACAAACATTGCCACCCTATAAAAGAAAAGTTGAACTCCAGAAGGTATGTAGACCTAGAAGGAGGTAGTCAACAGAGCAAGGCACTATCTGCAAATAAAGCTTGAGGAGTGGAAATGAAGAGTCTTCTAATTCTTATACTTCTGTGTGTGGCAGCTTGCTCAGCTTACCCTCTGGGAGGAACAGCAAAGGATGAGGATACTACAATGGATCTTGTTCAGGTAATTTCTGGAAGTAATCACTGCACCCACTGGTAGGTTCAAGTAAAGAAATTCTCTCTGCCTGCCACTCATAATGGGATGTCTTGAGTTCATTGTGTATAAATAGTTCAAGGATAGAAAAATGTAAAGTATTAAATATAGAAGGGTTTAAGTATCACATCATTCAAGCTTCTCTGTTTATGTAGGAAGAAACAAGGCCAGAAATGCTAACAATTTTCCTAAGTTCATATACAGTACATCACAACAGCAGCAGTGGGACACAAATATTAAGCGGAGCAAAATCAAACGTGTCCTGTTTTGGAACTTCCTTAGATATTTTGATTTAATGTAATTTAAATATTTATTTATGTTGTTCATGTCATGTTTCTTCAAAGGGATTTGTCCAACTACTCTCTTAAACCAGATCCATGTGAACAATATAAAGTGGGTAACTGAGTAAGATTCCCTGAAATTTACCGAACCAAAAGAAGTTTGTTTTGCTTTTTTGTTAAGTGAACTGGACGTTGTGTCAGTTTTTCATTTTGCTCTCATTGCTTTGGTGACAAACTAAGTTGTAGTTTTATTGCTACAAAGGCAAAACAATCAAACACACAAAAGGACTTCAATTTAAGAATCATGTAGATAGACCATTTAGTTAGGGACTCTGATGTTTCAGCAGGCTAAGCGCTGGACTGCTAACCCATCAGCTGCACAGAAGAAAGATGATCTCATAAAGATTCACAGACTCTAAAAACACAGAACTTCTCTGTCCTATAGGCAAAATTTACTTGATGGTAGTGAATTGTATGTGCTACTTATATTAACAGTAGAAAACTAAAGAAACACTTCAAATACACTAAGAAATGTGAGCAACTAAAGCATATTGGTTTAAGTGGATAACCATTAGAATCTAATTCTTCTATCAGAAATACCTTGAAAACTACTACAGCCTTCCAAAAGATGCAAAACAATTTGTGAGAAGGAAAGAGAGCAGCCCTGTGGTTAAAAAAATCCAAGAAATGCAGAGATTCCTAGGGTTGAATGTGACAGGAAAGCTGGACTCTGCCACCCTGGAGGTGATGCACAAGCCCAGGTGTGGAGTACCTGATGCTGGCCACTTCACTACCTTTCCTGGTTCACCCAAGTGGAGGAAAACTACCCTCACTTACAGGTAACGGCTCCAAAGAGGCTTTCACATGAGGTAAAAACTTTATAAATGATGGTCTTGAGAGAAAACTTGACTTATTTTCCTTCTGTAGGATTGTGAACTACACATTGGATCTATCCAGAGATGCTATTGATTCTGCCATTGAGAGAGCTTTGAAAGTCTGGGAGGAGGTAACTCCTCTCACATTCTCCAGGATTTACCGTGGAGAAGCAGACATAATGATCACTTTTGCAATTAGAGGTAAAAACAATCAACCAACCAAAAAGGCAAAATGCAAAACTCATGAAATATACTAATTTGTCTAATGGTGTTTTATTGGAACAAGGTAAAAAAAAAAGGAAAGAGCATCTAAATGAACTCTCTTTTCAAATTAAAATAACCAAAACCTTTTCTTGAACCTTTTAGAACATGGAGATTTTATCCCTTTCGATGGACCTGGACAAGTTCTGGCTCATGCCTATGCGCCGGGGCCAGGAATTAATGGAGACGCTCACTTTGATGATGATGAGCTGTGGTCAGAAGATACAACAGGTGAGTTACACACTGTTCATGAGGATTCTGGTGTTAACACCTTTTATATTTGAATAACTCTCAATTTTCAAGAATGCCTGAGAAATGAGATGCTCAGGCTTCCCTAATGGGTAATGGGACATCTTTTTAATTTTAAATATTGTTAAAGAATTTTTCCAGAAGTCTAAAGGTTTATTCCCTATCTTGGTTGTAAGAACAATATGTGGTTGTTATGTGCTGCTGAGTCAGAACCCATTCTTAAGTGGGTTTTCAGAGTTTATAGATTGCATGGGAAGACATTAACCATCTTTCTCCCATGGAGCAGCCAGTGCATTTTGGACTGTCTGCCTCTGAGTTGGCAGCTCAACTCTTTACCCACTAGGCAACCAGAGCTCCTTGTGCACAAATAAGAAAGCTAATTGAGTGTGTAACAATGAATGAACAGGAATCCAAAGTCTCTGTAAACTTTCATTAAAATAAAAAAAAAGAAGAGAAAAAAGAAAGCTAATTGAGTGTTGTTTTGATGACTGTGCAGCTTGTAGAATCTTCAGTTCATTAGTAATGAAGCCAAATTTTCATTACACCAAATTTCTGATATCTGATGAATAGTGATTACATTAAATCTACATCAATTGTCAAATGTGCCATCAATAGTATTTATGTATCTCCCCTTTCTTCTTCAAAAGGAAGATCAGAATGAAGTTGTAGCTATTGTCTTTTCAATTGTTCTGGTAAAAATCAACAGTCCACTGCCACCACATTAAGGTGTGTTTTCACAGAGCTGTTCTAAAGGAAACATAACCTTCAAATACAATGTTTAAACTGTTTAGGTAAATGAATGTGGCTTGACTTCAAACCAAACATATCGAGGAAAACATTTCAAGATTTTAAGCAATCTGCAGGAACAAATAATACTATTTTTAAGACTTGGTTTGACTTGATAAAATGCAAACAGACTTTCTCTAGCGAGAAGAAATAGGTTAAGACTGGATAAAATTCTTGGTTAGATTTAATGTTTTCCAGTAAACTCTGAAGTTAATTCTTCCGCAGGAGTCATAAATTGGACAAATCATGCTTCCAGGAGGAAAGTAGACTTACTTGCTATGTCAATCACAATTACTCCATCCCTTCCAATGTCAATATTTTTTTAATAATATGAAGGAAAATGTATGAACACAGCCATTGTTTATGTGGCTAAAGTTTCTTTTCTGGTGAATACTGGACATGATTAGACATGTTTTCAATCACACTTTCAAATTTGATGACATCTATAATTATTCTTAATTTTGACTCAGTATGTGTTAAATAATGAATACAAGGCAGATGCACACAATGTTTCCATGGAAAATAGCAAGAATATAGTTATTCACAGATAAATATTTCTGAATTGAAATGAACTTATTAAGATTCATTTAATTGAAATTGCAGCTGGCAAATTGAAACAGTATTAAATGTCCTAAATTTTCCTTGGCAAATGAAGATTATATTTATTAATATTTTAAGCAAACACATATATAATGACCCTGAAGAAAAGACACGTAGTTCTTGTAAATTAATAGGCTCTGATGATGGTGGTGGAGGTGAGAAGGTTCGTGGAGACAAGAAATTAAATGTAGTGTTATTTGTATTTTATTTCTTAAAAAACATCTATTATAAATCCTTCCTATTATCCCTTAGGTTATAATACGTCTTGAGTATCAGTATAAAACATATCTTGAATCACCATCTTTTGAAGTAGAATAGAGATTAGCCAAGTAAGTCAAGGAGCATAAAGAGAGAAAGAGAAGTGCAGACACACATGAAGATCACCCAGGAGCAGAAGCTTAAAAGAGACAAAGGTTTTTCCTTCAGAGCCAACTCAGAGATAAAGCCCTCCCCAGGAGATAGCATCCTGAATTCAGACTTCTAGCCTCCTAACTATCTCCCAGACTGCCGAAAGAACAAAAACTTTGCTTCAGAGGAAGTACAAGCACGGTGTCCTTTAGAGGCATGGCCAATGAAATTTCATTTCACATACTTCAGGCATGTTGTCAGGAGAAACTGGTATTTGAGAACAGACATCATGTTGTGAAAGGTGGAGGGTCAGAAAAAGAGGGGAAGACCCTTGAAGAGATAGATTAGCACAATGACTGTGACAATGGGTTTGAACATGTCAAAGATTGTGAGAATGGTACAAGATAGAGTACGGGGTTCAGATGGGTTGTTCATCTGGTTTTTGAGTCTGAGTCAATTCACGGACACTTAACAACAAACTCAGGAAATGGATATTGTTGTTGTTAAAGCCATTCACTTATGGATTCCTATTACAGCCGCACTAATTAACTAGCACATACAGCTGAACACTTTACCTCAAATATTACTTTCAAGTATAAGCCCTCAAACCCCTTGGCTTTCCATGAATAGTACAAATGATTGAAGTACTGTCTGTCAACCAAATGCAGGAACTTCAAGTCCACCCAGAGGCTACTTGGAAGAAAGCTGTCTGGATCTACTTCCAAAAGATTTCCATTAAAAATTCTGTGGGGAAAAATTCAACTCTGACACACAGGAGGAGGAGTCATGAATTAGAGTTGACTCCAAGGCAAAGTTTTTCTTTTTCTGCCTTGAAATGTAGAATAAATTGATAAGTCCCCAACAAATAGGGAATAAAAGGCCTGGATCAATATGATTTACTGCTGAATTGTGTGAGATATATATAGATAAATTTTTTAAAAAATATAACTGATTGTTACTTATGATTTCTCAAATAGGGACCAATTTATTCCTTGTTGCTGCTCATGAACTTGGCCACTCTTTGGGCCTTTATCACTCAACTGACAGTAAAGCTTTGATGTATCCAATCTACAATCCGCTTACAGACCTGGCCCGGTTCCGCCTCTCTCAAGATGATGTGAATGGCATTCAGTCCCTCTATGGTGAGTGATGCTGGAGAATGAAGCACTGTAGCTCAGGAAATGTTAGAAAGCTGCACAAGGTTTGAAGCCAAGTACTTTAAAATCCTTAGAGAATGCAGTATTGAGGAAGTATCCCATTTCTTCTAATGTTTGCATCCCTGCATCTGCTCTCTGTAGGACCTCCCACTGTCTCTCCTGAGGAACCTGTGATGCCCACACAATCTTTGCCTGCAGGACCTGAGACACCAGCCATGTGTGACCTTGCCCTGTCCTTTGACGCAGTCACCACTCTGAGAGGGGAATTCCTGTTTTTCAAAAACAGGTCTGGTCAGAAAGTGAATGAAAGATGTGACAGTTTGCTTCGTAAAGATCTACAGCCTTGGAAACCCTAATGGGGCCATTCTATTCGGTTCTATAGGGTTGATATAAGTCAGCATCAGCATGATGGTAACAGATTTCCGTTTTGGGAGAGTAAAAAACTATTTTCCCTATCTAAGTCAGCTGTTCCAGCCACTAGCTGTATGCAGGAGAGAGTCTACTTCTAAAAGCCATGGGAACCCTCCCAACAAGTTCTTCTCTGCTCCATAGAGTCCCTGTGAGTCAGAATGGACTCAGTAACATTGGGTTATTAGTTGAATCTATATCAGGAAACCGAACAGAAATGCTTAGAGAATTTTAAACCTGTAGAACAAAAATACATCTATAGGAATATACATATAAAACATATACCCATATCTGGTAATATTTATTTTGATGTAGAGTAAGGACTTAAACTTTACCTCTGGAAATCAGTTTGTGGTGTAAGACAACTTTCTTTTCAAAGGAGAGATTATTCTGGAACTCTGTACTAGGGAGCTCATTATGGGCACCTGAAGCAAAGTGACAGATACTTTGCTCATTGGCAATATATATGATTTCTCAGACTGTTATAGGGCTTAAAAGATGAAGGGATAGGGAAATAAAAGTGAGAAAGACAAAGATGAAAATATACTGAAATGACTTTTCCAATTAATATTACTTTTACATATATATTTTTCAGACATTTTTGGCGCAAATCTCTCAGGACCCTTGAAATTGAATCTAATTTGATCTCTTCATTTTGGCCATCTCTACCTTCAGATGTGGATGCTGCATTTGAAGTTACTAGCAAGGATACTGTTTTCATTTTTAAAGGTAATTATTACATAAAAATTTCTTGAACTTGGGGAAATATACACTTTAAGAAGAAAATTGGAGAGGAAATTTTCTTTGCTGTATCAAATTCTATTATCCAAAGTAATGGATAACAGGGCTGGAATTACAGGAAAACCAGGACTATAATTGCATCCATTCCTTACTTATTGATATGTGTAGGTTTCAAAGAGCAGGTTACTTATGTAAAATAGAGGATGAGCACATGAGGTCTCAAAATGGAAGATGACTACATCATTGCATATTGCCACTCATATCATTACAAACTGCCAAACCATCAAGAATCATAACCCAATTAAGTGTAGACACTACTCAATTAAGTTCAGACACATACCTGTATCCATTAGTAGTAGAATTGTTCTTGCCTCACACCTCAGAGCTTGTATTGCTGAATATAGGTTGTTGATACTCAAAATAGTAGAAGGTTGATTTTTGTATTAGCGTCATAACTATGAAATGTCATCCAACAAGATAGTGTCAATAAGTGAGGACTAGCTATATTGTATAGATGATAAAAGTGGACACAGAAAGAGAAATTCCCCAAGTTTTAAATGCATTCATTTGCTCTTTGTTCATTAATTCAATATTCATTCAATCTGTAAATGTTTGTTAAATGTACATTATGAAGTAGTGGCTAGATCAAAATGGCCAGCTTTCTCCTGACTACAACAGTTAAAAAAAAAAAAAGAAAAACTTCTAAAATAAACTTATAAAATCAAATAGCTTAATTGATAAAAGTTTAATGTAACTCAATGTAACTTTCAAGTGTTATTTTTTAATAATTTGTCTTCTTTTTGCTGTTGGTGAAATATACAATCATAATCCTACTCAACAATTTCTACATGTATTATCCAGGGAATCTGATTATAGTGAAATGTTTCTTCAAGCTGTGCTACCATTCTTCTTTGCCTTTGTTAAACTTGTTTCTTTCCCATTAACATGAACTCATTTATTCCTAAATCTACTCCCTAATTTTTCAAGTTACTAGTTTCAATTTATCTCATTCAGACAGATCTTATAAAAAAGTACAATGTTCAAGTAGGCATTATTAACAGTTGTTTGGTTTTGTAAAGACATTAGGGAATATTTTTTATTTAAGGTTTAGTACTTCTCTCAGAATTATTTCCTCCCCTCCCTTTTAAAAAATAAATGTTTCTATTAAATCATTCATAGACACTTTGTTTTCTGACATTACTCAAATTGGTGAACATCATTAATTGCAATGTCTAATAAAACCCTTTCTGTATGTTGTCTTTCCTTTCTCCTTTCCCCTCACCTTTCTGTTTTGTTTGTTTAAAACAGGGAGTCAGGTCTGGGCCATCAGAGGTAACAAGGTCCAGGCAGGTTATCCAAGAGCCATCCACACCTTGGGCTTTCCTCCAACTGTAAGGAAAATTGATGCAGCTATTTCTGATAAGGAAAAGAAGAAAACATATTTCTTTGTAGAGGATAAATACTGGAGGTAAAATGAAATTAGGATTATTTTTAAAATGTTAATTAGGAAAAAATGTTAGCTAGGGAATTATTTATTTTACAAGAAATTCCTTCTTGCCTTGGCCTCCCTCTTAACACGTTGCTGCAAATGATGGCAAATGTGTTTCTAAGCACAGTTGTCAATTTTAAAAGTGTGTGGCAACATTTTAATAGGGTAGGACTTTAGACACTCATAAGGAAGAGCTTATGTTGAAGCTTTGCAGCACCACTGAGCCCTGTTCAGTAAGCGAGCGCTCCTCTGTGGAGTCCTGGTGTAATAAGCTGGAGGTTTCCCACTGTGTTGTAGCCTTCTTGTGTGAAATCTCTTCTCCCCTCCGCCAAACCAAATTCCACCCATCCTGCATGGTCTGGCTCACCATGCCTCTGAAGAACAAGCCCACTAGGCATTTTACGCATGGAACATTTAAATCCTGAAAATCCAGGCAAGGATTCTGGGGCTTCGCCTGACATACTTTGGACATGCTGTAAGGAGAGACAGGTCTTTAGAGAGGGATATCATGCTGGGTAGAGTAGAGGGACAGCACAAGAGGGGAAGACCCTCTATGAGGTGGATTGATTCAGTGACTGGGGTAATTGGGATGGGTGTGTCAGAGGCTTTGTGATTGTCACAGGATAGAGCAGGGTTTAGGGCTGTTGTACATAGGGTTGCTTTGTCTCTTACTCAACAGCACATAACAACAACAACAGCAGCAGCCTCCTCTGTGGTTCCAGTCAAATGTAACCAATTGTGACTTTTGGATACTTGCAAGGTTTTAAGACTGGGAAATTCACAATGAACTAGTTCTAGAGATTCCATGCTGTGCACAATTAATAAATAGAACAAAAGTACTAAGTATGTTCTTAGGCCAATTAATGTTGTTGTTCTGTGCTGTCAAGTTGATCCTCTGAACAACAGATTGGAACCTCGCCGTGACCTGAGCCATCCTCACAAACTCCTACATTCCACAAAGCCATTGTTACAGTCACCACGTCAATCCATCCCATTGAGGGTCCTCTCCTCCTTCATTGAACCTCCACGTTTCTGAGCATGATGTCCTTTAGCATGAACCGGCCCCTCTTAGCAACATGTCCAAAATGTGTGAGATGACGTTTCATTATCCTGGCCTTTGATCACTGGCTCACCTTGCCCAAGACAGTCTTGCTTGTCAACTTCTAGTTGACTCAATTTTCTGAGACAGTAAATTCTATAAGAGGTAACTGCCCATCTTTCTGCTATGGAGCAGCTGGTAGATTCGAACCATGTACTTTTGTGTTGACAGCTCAATTCTTTACCACTAAGCCACTAGAACTTCCCATGTAACACTGAACTAATTGCCTTTCACTTCATTCAGATTTGATGAAAGAAGACAGTCCTTGGAGCCTGGCTTTCCTAGGCAAATAGTGGATGACTTTCCAGGAGTGGACACAAAGGTCGATGCTGTCTTTGAAGCATTTGGTAAGTAGATGCTTATATTTCCAACATTGAGGATCTTTAAAATAATCTAGGATGTTGAAGAAAGAGAATTGAAACAATTTTAAAATAGTTTTTAGAAAGCAGTTCATGATTCTCTGCCTCAAATTTGCAGTTTACCTACTTTTGTACTACTTATAAGACTACTTCATATAATAAGTTGTTTTGAATTTTACATGTAGTTGTCACAAATTTCTATTTTATGAGTGCAATGTTTCCTCATATCTAGATAACCATGTAAACATCTAATTATGAACCGAGTTTAATAAAGGCTGGTTTTCTCTTCTGTCCATCCTATAGCCACTGCTAGTCACAGAGAGATTCCTCTGTCTTTGAGTAGGAAATCATGGCTTGCACTGAGCAGTTATAAATATTTACTTTGCCATGTGCCAAAGTTTCAACTATAACCCTAAATTTATAGATACACATACTTATACACACAGATAAGGGAACTCTAGTGACCTAGTGGTAAAGAATTGTGTTGCCAACCCAAAGGCGTGCACTGTGAATCCGTGCACTGCTCTGTGGGAAAATGAAGGACAATCTCATCCTGCACAAGTACAGCCTCTGGAAGCATATTGGAAGATCAACTGTGAGCTGGTTCTGACTTGACAGCACATCACAACTGCACAACACATGCACTCACACACACTCACACTCTCTCTCAAACACACACACACACACACACACACACACACACACAAACGTGTATTTATGAATAGATATTTATTTGTACTTTAAACTCTGAGCACAGCAAACTAGTATTAAGTAAAAATTTTATTTAAAAAAAAAAACCCAACACTTTGAGCACTTGGAAAAGAAAACACATTCCTAATCAAAGCAGATGATCTTTATCAAAGGTAATATGAACATGATGTTTGTAGAGTAGTTAAAAGTCTTTGCATGTTTTGAAAAAAAATCACTGTGTGTTTGAGCCAGGCGTGTCACACAGCCTGGGACAGATTGGAGAAAAGGGTGGGGGGAAGTTCATAGTTTCCAAACAATCAGAGAATTTAATCTGATAATCAGAAGCTTGGCTTTGCTGTCTGAACTGGAAAAGGGAATTGTGTCCTTCTTTTCCTTGCTGAGTGGCTTTGAGCCAACATGTAAATCTGTCTATACCTAAATTTACTCATCTGTAAAATGGACCTACTTAGACTTGTCTCAGGATTGTTTCAGAGATAAGTAAGAGAATTATGTTAGTTGTTTAGCATAGTCTCTGACCTGGACTAAAACTATAAACACATTCTATTTTTGGTTAACTGTTATTCTGAATTTTTTTAAAAAATGTTGCCAAATCTATTTATTTGAAGAAATATCTACTTTCTTGTCTATATTTGCAGGATTTTACTACTTTTTCCATGGATCTTCACAGTTTGAATTTGACCCTAATGCAAAGAAAGTGACACATATTTTGAAGAGTAACAGTTGGTTTGGTTGTTAGGAGAGATGCTTAGAAGGCACACATGAATGTTTTGAATTAAGCTCTTAATTGTGTCTCTCAAAGGATGTGAATTGAGGTGGTTCATTTCCTCCTGCACATGGAATGATGGGAGGCCGCGAGTGTGCACTGTGTGTTTTACAAAGAGTCAGCATGTATTAAGGGCATTCGACTGGGCTGCTTCACTTGCACTTTGTTCATATGGCTTCACCTTCCACAGGAGAAAGGGATGTGCATATGTGAAATAAAGTATTGTATCTATTTGTATATACTATGGCTTGTTATTTAATAAAGTCGAGTTGTCAGATATTCAATTGGTTGTGTTTGTGTATGTGTGTGTGTGTATTTTAAAAAACAAGTCATTCTCACAACCCCAGACACCTGATGGACTGAGTAGTACAAAACCTGAGATAACAGTGGGGTGGCAGAATTAAGGTCCCCATCATGGGGGTTTCACAATTGGTCAGAAAAATCTACCAGGTTTCAGAAGAGGTCTTTGAGGGACCTACTTTTGTGCCGAGATCTAGCAAAATGAACAGGAGTTGGAAACTCTGGTGATACGGTTCATAGGGAGTCATGCTGCTAACTCAGAGATGACACACCTTCCTGATGGTTTGCATTCACCAGCAGCTTAGAGGATGAAGGATGAGTAATCTGCCAAGAGATTTACAGCCCCCAAAATCCTGCTGGTAGGTCAGCTCTGAGTCGATTCTGACTCGAGTTTGAGTTTGAAGTGAAGAGAGAGGTAGAAATGTCTCAGGTAAAGGCAAGAGCCTTGAGGTGGAAAATCTATGGCAAACTGGAGCAATTGAAACAAGGCTACTTGGCTGGAATTGGGCCCTTAGTTGGTTATTACATGGATTGAATTGTGTCCCCCATCCCGCCCCAGTTGAAGCTCTGTAATAGTCCTCATAATATTTTAGATAAAATATTTATAGGAGGACTAAGGGTGGAATGCAATACATGGTTCTATCGTGTGTCAACCTCACCGTCTCAAGCACACTCATTCCCACCACTCCACTCACAGAATTGATCCATATCATCAAGGGTCTTCCTCTCCTGTGCTGTCCCTCCACTCTCCCAAACATGATGACCCTCTCCAAGGACCAGTCCCTCCTTGCAACATGCCCAAAGTATGTCAGACAAACCTTCAGATTCCTTGACTCCAAGGAGCATTCCAGCTTCACCTTCTCCAGGACAAACCTGTTTGTTCTCCTAGCAGTCTATGGTATATTCAACACTCTTCTCCAGTACCACTGCTCAAAGGCATCAATTCTTTTTCTATCATCCCTATTCACTGTCCAACTCTCTTATGTATAGCATGTAATTGCGAAGAATTTAGCCCAGATGAGGCACACCTTAGTCTCCAGCCTGACGTCGTTACTCTTCAGTACTCTTGAGACGTCCCTCACAGCTGACCTTCCCAATGTAATTAGCCTCCTTTTTTCCTGGCTGCTGTTACCAAGAGTGTTGACTGTGGAACCAAGTAAACTAAAACTTTTAACTATCTGAATCTCTTCACCATCCATACTGATGCTGCCAGTGAGACTGTTTGTTTTCTTTATGTTGAGTTTCAGTTCATATAGGAGGCTGCAGTCCTTGACTATCTGCAGCAAGCGCTTCAGGTCCTTCTCAGTTTCAGCAAGCAGGGTTGTGTCATCTGCATAACACAGGTTGTTGATGATTCTTCCACCAATCCTGATGCCACATTCCTCCTCGTACAGCCCGGAGTCTCAGATGATCTGTTCTGTATACAGATTGAAATGGTATGGAGACAAAATACATCCGTGATTGGCCCTCTTCTTAATTTTGAACCATGTAGTGTCTCCTTGCTCTGTTCTGATGACTGCCTCTTGGTCCAAATATAACCTCTCCTAAAACATGTCCCCACATACCTGAGATGAAGCTTCAACCTCCTTATCTCCAAGGAACACTCTGGCTGCACCTTCTGTGAGACATATTTATTTGTTCCTTTGGCAGTCCACTGGATATTCAGTACTCTTCTCCAACACCACAACTAAAAGTATCAATTCTTCTGTCATCGTTATTCATTATCCAGCTCTCAGATACACAGCAAGTGATTTAAAAGACCATTGCTTGAGTCAGGTGCACTTTAGTCTTCAAACTGACATCATTGTTCCTCTATACTTTTGAGAGGTCATTGACAGCAGACTCTTTCCCAATATAACACATTTTTTTTTCAAATTTCTTGACTTCTGGACTGTGGAACCAAGCAAGATGAAATTACTGACAATTCCAAATTTTCCTCCATCTATCATGATGTTGCCTATTGGCTTGATAGTAAAGATTTTTTCCTTGACGTTGAGATATAATCAATCTGTATTGAAGGCTGTAGTCTTTGATTTACTCCTTATGTTCAGCAAGCCAGGACATGGTAAAAGTTGTTGCTATGTCTTCTTCTTATCCTAATGCTGCATTTTTTTGTCATAGAGTCCAGCCTTAAATGTTTTTTCAGGACAGAGATTGAATAGGAATGGAGAAAAGATAGAGCTTAATTTATTTATTCTGTCCCCTACTATTGATGGTCTAATTAATATGTAAAATAAATGTATAAGTCAAATATATTTTAGAAAGAAAAAATAAAAATAAAAATCTAGACTTGAAAAATACATAGTACATTTGCAATAACTTAATGATTTAAAGGAAATTTCTTTCTATTTTCTCACACCTAGGTTGTTTGTAATATTTTTATATTTTACTCATGCAACAACAAGTACCAATGAATACACTGGCATATCTGATGAGAATCTAAATTTCAAAGGTAGAGCAAAGATGAAGGAGTGGAATTGAGATAAAGGAATAGAAAAGAAATGCAGTAGAATCTCCAGCATGAGGGAGACTCTTTACAACACTGGGGCTCTTTACAACAGCAGAGTCGAGTGAAAGAAAGTGTTTTCTTTTTCTGACTGAAGTGAGTGAACACTGGTAAGTTAAGGTGCTTTTGATTACCAGAAGGAGAAATGTTAATTACTTAAACATGAAAGGATTTATTGAGTCACATTATTACTTAGTATGTCAGAAAGGCAAGTTTCAATATGATCCGGATTGTGGTGTGCTTAATCTCTGGAAACATCTTTACTTTGTTCTTTGTGCCAATTTTCCCCTTGGGCTAGCTTTCTTCAGGACAGAAAAACAACTATACTAGTTCTGGGCAACATACCTATAAAAAGTACCACCACAAGTCATCAAAAACTAGTTCTGAGTCTCCCTTTTTCTGAAACATTTTGTACAAAAATGTGTTTCACAATCATCAGAAAAAAGGTCTTTCTCATATAACAAAGACTGACAACAGTCCAAACGCCCAAACTGTGCTACCATTCCAGTGTCTACAACATTAATTATTCCTCCCCTGTTCAGTTCACCCACTATAATGTATGTGTTTTGGGTTTTGTGGTTCACTGGAATATATCTCTGGTATGTCTAAGATTTATCATTCAAAATGTCTTTCCTAGTCAATTATTAACTGTTTTGTGCTGAAGTATTCATTGTATTAAGGTGAGAGGATTAGTATGGGATACAAGTCCCACCCTGCTTGAGGCTTATGTAAGCTCATGGAACTTCAATGCTAGCTCTCTTCCAACTTGGATTGGCTATCTTCAAAGGATGATCTACAATGCTCACTTGTGTATCTACAGTCACATGAATCATTCCCCTGATGGGTCTGAGTCTCTCTCTGGGAGACCTTCCAGAGAAGCACTGAACCCAAGGGACATAAAGGACAAAAGGGACTGAAAAAAGGAGGATGTTAGAAATTATGGACTTGTACAACAGGTCAAGCATTGCGACAACGTTGACTTAACACTTCTTATAACTGGTCTGTTACTAATCTTAGCAGAATGAATTATAGAAACCTTCTCAAAGAAACTAAAAATCCATCAGGAAAATGCATCACCTGTCTGTAGGAGATGTAGGTTGGTATCAAAGAGACTGGTTAGCAATGGGTCAGGATCCTGAAGGCTGTAAGTTATGGTGCACCTGGGTCAACTCTGTTTAGTTGCTTTGTCCCAAGAGAGTAAGGATTTGAGAGTCCATGGACTTTTGTAGGCCTAGTAGTAGAGGGCTTGTATGACCCCTTAATTTTATCTTCTTAAACATTAAGTACTTCATCATAAAATGAAAGGTTATGGAAAGAATAGCCATTTAAATTCATTATACCACATATTAAAAAAAAACTCTTTTGTTTCAATGAGAGCTTATAAATCATAGTGAATTTTCACTCAATCATTCATATACATTTTGTTTTATAACATTAATTACAATTGCTTAACGTGTTTAATTAATTGATATGCAGAATCCATCCTTTATTGTATATTTCCTTTCACTTCACTCATATTTACTTTCTTCTCCCTTTCTTTCTGTCCTAGCTAACTATCCAAGAATGATTCTGAAGCAAACAAACAAAAGATTTTGTATGTTGCCTTTTCTTTCAAAAAGACACAAACTCATGCTGTTAAATTGGTACCAACTCATCACTGACTCTCCAGCAGGTTTGCTGAGGTTGCAAATCAGCTGTAGGGAGATTGTCTATCTCTCTCCTGAGAAGCCAATAGTGGATTGCGACAGATCATCAGAGGGGCACTATCTTAGGGGTTAACAGCACAACTCTCTAAAGACCAGGCTTCCAGAGTTCCTTTTTTGATGATAGTGGTGTTAAATCATATTTGTCTTTTTGTGACTGACTTAAGCCACTCAAAATAATTTATTCTAGATTTATCTATGTTGCGTAGTGTTTAATGAACTCTATCATTTTCCAGTGTTGCATAGTACTCCACTGTGTGAATGTCCAGTGTTTCTTTAACTATTCATCCATTTTTGGACACTTGGACTGCTTCTAACGCTTTGTCACAGTAAATAATGTGGAAATAAACTTGAGTAAACTTGAGTGTGCTTGATCTGTTTCTAATTATGTAATCTTGGAGGTCATCCTCAACCAAACACTATACCAATGAGGATTATGTTATTTGTATGAGTCAAGAACAAGA